GTACAACCCAAAATTTCACAATGTTAAAAACTATTAAAACATCAATAAATAAATCAGCAGAGTGTGCATCACAGACCAAAAAAAAAAAAAACTAGAGGCTCAGAAACCAATCCCTCACTCTTATGTCCCTACTCTTTCCTATTTGAAATAGCTTAAAACAAGTGTTTACATTAGCTAGCCAGACTCAACTGATTGCAAAACAAAACCAAAAACCACAACCAACACTACCACTAGAAATGCAAATCAAAATGAGATTTTTTTTTTTAATTTTATTTATTTATTTTTCCCCCCAAAGCCCCAGTAGATAGAACTGTATGTCATAGCTCCACATCCTTCTAGTTGCTGTATGTGGGACGCAGCCTCAGCATGGCCAGAGAAGCGGTGCGTTGGTGCGCGCCCGGGATCCGAACCTGGGCCGCCAGCAGAGGAGCGCGTGCACCTAACCGCTAAACCACGGCGCCGGCCCAAACTGAGAACTTTTTGAATTTAAGCCGATCAACAAAAACTGAAAAAGATACCATCCAAAGCTGGAAAGTATGGGGAAACAGGCCTATCACATCCTCTTGGTGGGAGTATGAGCTGCCAAAACTCCCTGGAAAGTAGTCCTAGCAGTAGCTATTAAAATGTACAAAGTATGTTTGCTTTGACCCAGTAACACCACGTTTTTAGGATTCTGTTCTACAGAAATAAAAGCCCTGCCCTATCAGCAACAACCCCTATATCCTTAACTGCCTTGAACAGTTCCTTCACCTTCATGTTCTGACTGAAACTCGGCTTTGCCCTGAAGACACTCCCCTTGAAGCCCTCTCTCTCCCATTTTCTCTCTCATACCCCGAAGTGAGAGAACTGTCCTTCTTGTTCATTCCCACCTTTAGAGATTCCTCTTCCCTTCTCCTTAAAAAGTGCATCTTCATGTAGAGGAGATTAAGAGAATTACCTCAGTGATGACGTCCAGGCTTAGAATCACACTTTTGGACTTCCTTTGCTATGTTCTCTTTCTTAAAACTGCCACATAGCAATTTCTATTGGCCCTACTCACTTACCTGTAGTTGAAAACAAATCAACACTTAGGGCCAGAGAGGCAGTGCTAGGTGGTAGGAAAGAGAATCCAGAGTTCTGGATTCAAATCTAAGCTCGTTCACTAACCTTGGGTAAGTCACCTACTGATCCTAGTTTACTCACCAATACCAGAACGTACACCATTTGTTTATTGGGAGGACTCAATGAAATAATGGATCTAGAGCACTTTGGATAAAGTAAATGCTCAATAAGTGTTTAAACAACATCAAAAACAAAAACACCTTCAAATCTCCAAATTTCTTACTCCTGAACAAGCAGAAAGAGCTCATTTCTTCCTCCACTGGCCATGCATAGCTCCTTTAGTCCCTTCTCTCTCTGTCCATGTCATCCTTCTCCAGGTGTTCAAACAGCAACCTAGAGGCAGTAAACCAAGGCACTAGGGGAGACTACTATATTTGGAAATTTGGGAAAATGGACTTCAATAAAAGTAACTTTCCCCATACCTGCATCAGCTCTTCCTAAAACCTATTCTTTCCCATTTGAAACAGCTTAAAACAAATATCTGCATTAGTTATTCATACTCAACTGGTTCCAAAATAAACAGGAGGAAAGGTTAACTAGAAAAATCTTAGAAGACACCAAATGGACTGAGAAGCATGATAAACAAACTCTAGGGAGTTCAAGTCAAATCACACGTCACAAGAAAAAGTGAAATAATAGGAAACCTGAGATTTCTAAAATATTTTACTTTTGCTAATTTCAATATATCAAATGAAGCAACATACTGAGATCTAGCTCCTAGCTAGTGTCACCCTGTTCTGTCCTGACCCCTGTGGAGATTCCAAGCTTATGCTCCACAGTCAGTGAAACAAACCTGAAATCGAGTGTTATGCCACTCCCTGGTTGACAAAACCTTTGATGGCTCCCCAAGCTTAAAGTTTAAACCATGTGCACAGCTCTGAAAGCCCTCCAAAAATCTGGTTCTAATTTACCTTTCCAGTCTTATTTTCCACTTCCAACTCTGTAAATCCTTCGCAACAAACATACTCCACACTATTGTATCTCCATACCTTGCTTGAGCTGTTTCCTCTTTGAGCATCCTCCTGCCCACCACCTGTTGAAATTCTATTTCTCCTTCAAAGTAGCAAAGTATACTTGAAGTCCAGATGCAGACCCACTAGACTTCTAATTCTATCTTCACTACTGAATAGCTTAATGACCTTGAGCAAATACTTCAACAGATATGTTTCCTCATCTAGGAGCAGGCATACCACCCATGGCACTTTACAAGGCTACTGTGAAGATTAAGCATAATGGTTATAAACTATCTAGCACTATGCCTAAGGCACAATAGATACCTAATAAATGGTAACTACTAAGCCTTCCCCTCCTTCTCCCATCCCCATCAATACTCCTATCCTTCCTCAAATTCCCATAGCACTGTGTTGTACCATATTACATTATGAACACTAATATACTGCAGGATACTCATTATTCATGTATGTATCTGGCTTCTCCATTAGGTTTTAGACAAGATGGTTATGGGTATGGATTTCTAAATCTCTGCCTCTTACTACTTGTGCAAGTTATTGGACCTCTCAGAACCTGTTTCTTCATTAACAAATTGAATCGGGGTTAAAACCTTACAGTGTTAAAAGGTTTAAAAAGAGTTAATGCACATCAAATAGTGGGTATAACCCTTGACACCTGGTAAATTTCAAAGAATGTTTAATGGCAATCCGGATGATGAACCTGATCCAGCAACTGCTTAAAAGAACACATAAATGTAAAATGCATTTGCCTTTTTAAATCCAATTTCATAAAGCAATCTTAACACAACTGTAACCTGCTACTCACCTCTCTTACTGATAGAGATGTCCAGTGAAGACAAAAATGGAGGTTGCTATGCACTTCACCTCAGAAATGCTACCACATATTCATGTCCTTCCAGTACCAGACTAAGTAAATCATGACTTATAACTCACAGCACCTCATTACACTTAAACAACATGGGGGCTTACTACTGAAGAGTTGTAAGGGGTAAAATGGTCTGCCCAAATTAAACAAAACCCTGAACTTAGTGATCTACCAGGAAGTGAAAGCTAGTTGTGTGCTCTTTATTCATTCTGATTCCGATTTGTTGTGTCATCAATTTCTCTACTCAAAACTCCAATCAAATATCAACCACTATGATAGTTTTTTCCCATTTACACTCTTCCAACCCACTGCTCAATTTACGAGGAAAAAAACTTCAAAATTATGGGGCCGCCCCGTGGCTTAGCGGTTAAGTGTGCACGTTCCGCTACTGGCAGCCCGGGTTCAGATCCCGGGCGGACACACCGCTTCTCCAGCCATGCTGAAGCTGCGTCCCACATACAGCAACTAGAAGGATGTGCAACTATGACATACAACTATCTACTGGGGCTTTGGGGAGAAAAAGGAGGAGGACTGGCAATAGATTTTAGCTCAGGGCTGGTTTTCCTCAGCAAAAAGAGGAGGATTGGCATGGATGTTAGCTCAGGGCTGATCTTCCTCACAAAAAAAAAAAAAGCAGGAGAACTCCTGCCTCAAAAAAAAAAAAAAAAAACTTCAAAATTAACTACAGTGAAATCTAATCAAGGAAATTATAGAAAAGTGAGAACTTGCAAAGAAAAAAAAATATCACAGCATTTGCATTTCACTCTCAGTTGTACACTGATACTTACACAGGCTGTATAGCACACACATCAAGAGCTCAGGAAAGGTTCTGGAAAGATGGACCTGGCTTTAAATCTGACTACCACTCACTAGCCATGTAAACTAAGCATGTTACTTCTTAAGCCTCGTATCCCTCATTTGTAAAATAGGGACTGTAACAGTATGAATCTTACAGGGTTGTTGTAGTAAATGCAATAATGTATGCTAAGTGTTCAGTAAAGTATTTACAACATCACACTCAATAAATGGTATTCTAACTAGCAGTGCCTGAGAACTAAGGTTTTTGGTAAATACTAGTGAATTAATGAATATACAGCACATTTTATACTAGGAAATAACTGTACCACTAACTTTCATTCTATCCTAAGTTAAATAATGATTAACAACAGCAATACTGTTTGGGAGCATTTTACAGTTTACAAAGCCCTTCAGACACCCATAAACTCATCAAACTCATCCTTACGAGGTTAACGTTTTTAAGATACGTAGTTTAGAAATAAGGAATGTGGTATTCATCAGGGCAACAAAGAGCCAAGGTTACCTACCCTAGTGGTCTCCTCCATTCAGATTCTCCAGCTCAGAAATAAGTGCTCAGTGCCAAAAGTTCTTAACCCAACATCCACTAAAAGGAGGCAGATTCCTGCCAAGTTCCCAACCTCCTCAAGCACAGTCAAGCACGTGATTCCAGGAACAAGCCCAGGGTAATAAACCCGGTCGGAAGCCACGGATGACACTTATAGCGCCGCACTGTTTCCTAACGTGGTGTCTGTCCTCCCGCGCCTTTCGGGCGGGGGCCACCCTGCCCTCTCCCCCACCAGAGCGCCCAACACAGGACCTGGCACCCAGCGGCCTTCAGTCAATGTTTGTAGAAATGGCAGAGGATGCTGCTAGGAGGCTTTCCAGACCCGAAACGAGACCAACTCCGCAGTGGGGATTAAACATCTTGGTAGATCCAGAGTCGTTGGGCGGAGAGGGTCCCAGCGGTAACGTCCTCGGGCTGGGAAGATGGCTGAGGACTGGCGCCGCTAACGGAAACCAGGGTGGTTGACCCGAGGGGACACGGGACAGGGAGGAGGCGGGTCTGACTGCAGCCATGCTGGAAGGCCGGGGACCGACAGAGGCTCGGGGCCGGGGGCAGCAGGGCAGTTGGCGTCTGGGGGGGAGGGGGCCGCCTGCTGGTCTGAGAAAAATCTCGGGCCCAATCTGAGGAGAGTTCTAGGCTCCTCTAAGGGCCCGCTCCCCAGCCCGCGGCGGCATTTGCTGCACCGAGTACTCGCTGCTACCTGAAACTGCAGCAGCTTCTCGGTCTGCTCCTGGGTTAGATCCCGATCCTCAGGCGCCGCCATTTTGCCGCCGCCTCTACGCTTCTGACCCGTCCGCACCGTCACCCGCCGGAACTGACCTCGGCAGCAACCACGTCCGGTCTGAACGGCCGCCGGCGCGCAACTGCGTCTGCGCGTGCTGGCCCAGTCCGGGGGGGTTGGTGGTGATGACAGTTCCCGCCGCCAGAGGGCGCCAACCTCGGGCCGATTCCCGAACACTTCCGGAAATTGCCGAGGGACTGTCGGCACCAGTCGCCCTCACGATTTAGGCGACGAACGGGTCTGCTGTAGAGACCCAAGACCCCTGAATAGACCGCAAAGAGCTGAGAGGTTCCGAATGCGGCACGAGCAGCTCCGGAAATTCCCGAGTGCCACTCGGCAGATTTCGGCTGCTCTCTAACCGTTTTCCCGTAATCTCTAATATTCCTGAATATTTTTTAGGAGATTGTGGCCGTTCCAAAATATTGACTGTTTGATGTTTGATTCCTGCCCTGACGTTTCCAAAAGCTCCTGACTATCTCTCGGGAGGTTCCGAAAGTCTCCGAATACTGATCGGGCATTTCCGACGCCGCCTTCGAGCCGGAAGCTGTGAAAGGCTTTTGCCGCATGAAAATCGCGGCTTCAAAGTCGCTTGCTGGGATTGTTTGGACTCGGCTGCCTGGGTCTTGGGCGGTTAATGGCGCTACCAGCCTTGGGCAGAGCTTTCCTTCTATCCGCGCTGCGACGGTGCGGGAGCCCGGCCTCTGCTCCTGCCTGCCTCAGGCCCTCTCGCGGCCTCCGCCCCCTGCCCGGTCTTCCCTGGACTGGGATCGGGAGACCTGGGGTCAGGTGGTAGCGCCCACCTTGCAAAGTGCTGGACATCCTTGGGCAAACCACCTCCCCTCTGGACTCCGTTTTGCCACCGGTGGAATGAGCCTCCCTAAGAGCCCCCGACATGCTGCTTCTGTGCGTTCTCCTTGGAGACAGTCCCTCACCCTTTCCACCGCCTCACCTCCGCCCCCTCCCCCCAATGTCTGCCTTCCTCTGCACCTTTCTAGCCGCTTCCAACCTGCCACCTCTCTTTAGATCGCCCTTTTCCGTTTCCGCTTCTTTTCTCCTGCCCTCGGCCTCCTCTGTCCACCCTCCAAAGGCCTTGGGGAGGCAGAGGGGTGTGGCTCTGGTGCATGCTTTTCCACAGACTACCTGTGACTCCCCATCTGTGGAATCCCACCCTGCCCACTTCACAGGGTTGGTGAGGTGAGACAGGACAGGAGGTGCTCTGGAAGCTGAAGTTCTGTGAAGGGTACGCTAGGGAATGGAAGGACTTAGGTTTTGGCTACTTCTTCCTTGCAGGCCTGTATCAGGTCTTACCAGGTCTGCACAAACTTCATCACATTGCCCTGGAATCTTTCTTAGACCTCTAAGGTAAAACTAGAAGCAAGCAAGTGCGACTTTAGAATTTATTACATCCATTCAAAACTCCAAGGAGACGCAGTACTGTTCAACATCTCCAGTAATGTTGGATCCAGATGAATGAACTAGATGAGGCATCGCAAAGTCAGATGCCCTCTAAAGTTGTTGCTAATGCTGATTGAAGATGCATTCTTTCCACAGACATACTTTGTAGTTATATTAAACACCACTCAATGTTCCTCACTTCCTCAAAGACACATACACCTTTTTGGGCTACATTTCTTCTTTGAATAAAGGCATAGTTAGAAGAAATATTTTACTTTTTTTTTTTTTTTGTAAACTCTACCATAGGAATTTGCCTCAGTGTGGGGGATGCAATATGGCAAACTGGAGAGACCATTCCCTGTCCAAAGGTGGTTTCTGCTTTTTAGCTGTAGCTGATGGCTTCCATGTAAAACCAATATTGCCAGAACTTCCCCTTTTTTTTTAAGAGCATCTACAAATTTGGATCTGCATATAAAATCTCCCCATTTTAAAATGGTGATAACTAATTCAATTTTTAAGAAAATTATCAGTCAACCATAATGGCAAGCCACATTTCAGCCCATGAGCTGCCAGTCTGCCCATCTGACCTAAGCAGAATCCTCCTGGCCTCCTTTTGCCGTGAGAGAAGCTGACCTTGGAAGAAACCTAAGATTTTTTGACAAATTCAAGATGAAGAGTGTGGAAAGTCATAAGTTATTGGCTTGCACTCGCCTTTAAGAACAGGTGTTTTTACTGACGTTTATTTTGCAGTTTAGAGCAGTGCCGTCCAATCAAATATAATGTTAGCCACGTGTGTAATTTGAGATCCTCCAGGAGCCACATTTAACATAGGTGAAATTAATTTTAGTAATATATTTGATTTAACGCAATATATCCAAAATATTATCTTTTTCAAAATCTGGTGTATATTTTGCGCTTATCTCACATCTCTGTTTGGAGTAGCCATGTATCAAGCACTCAATTGCCACACGGGGATAGTGGCCGCTGTATTGAACAGTGCATTTCTAGAGCATTCTGAAGATCTTTTTAATAGATTTATTCACTATATTCATCTACAGATTTTAGGAATTCATTCAACAAATATTTATTGAGTGCTTATTCCGAGCCAGGCTCTGGACCAGATGCTACAAAGATCAACAGAACACGGCCGCTGCCCTCTAAGAACACACGGTTTAATGGAAAAGTAAAGGAATTTCATCACTCTCTGGAAGGATTTGTGTGTGAGATAGGTTTGTGAGTTCCAGTTTTATGCCTATAACACACTGGGATTTGTTACTGAGAGCTATCTCAGAGAATCTAACAAATATTTGTTTCTCTAATCTCAGTAATAAGGCTTTGCTGACGCCTTACCATTTTGTTCCTGATGAAGGATGAATTCTGTTCTGCTGCGTCATGGAAATCCTAGAACAAGCCCTCAATTTCTGAGTAGCTGGAACTTAAGGTATTTTCTATCAGTTGGGGACACGGCATCTTGATTGCTGAGAAAAGCAGACCACTGAGATGTCAGCAACAGTTTTCTGTTTGTTTGTTTGTTTGGCCTCCTGCCCCATCAAATTACTCATTATAGGTTAAGTGGAGTCAGGAAGAATTAAGGGGACTCAACTAGATTCATCCAAAAACTAAAAGGAGTGAGAAAGGTATAGATCCTTAGACTTCTGCTAGGGGTATTGGGACTGATGAAACAAATTAAGGCTTGAAGGTGAAGTTTCACCTTACATAAGTCACAAAATACGTCTCCAGCTCAGCAGGGAGACCCTAGTGCAAACTCTGATGCCACCATTAATTGTGTAACTTTGCAAGTTAACCTCTCTAAGCCTCAGTTTGCTTATCTCTCAGCTGTAAACAGACTAATAGTCCGTACCTTACAGGGTTGTGGCAAGGATTAAATCAGAGAGGACATGTAAAGTTCATGGCCAAATCATAGCTACCTTGCAGACTTTGTGAGAGGATGGAATGAAATAATGGATTAAGAAAAGCACTTGTCATTGCTAAGGCCCTTTGCAGAAGTTAGATTTTGCTATAGATTAATTCAACATGCATCTACCACTGACTTAGTTTTGGGGGTGACCTAGCGTCAGGAATCGCCTAGTCTAGCAGGAAGTCAACTGCAGGATCAGGTGGAAAGGTGTGTAGCTGGTAATAGACGATGGGTAACATAGGCTGGCTCAGCTCCCCATGTCATCTCTCAACTGTCACTGCAGTTACCTCCTGACTGGTCTTGATTTTTACCCTTGTCCTCTAATTCAGTCTCATCACAGCTGCCAGAGAATCTTTTTAAGAAGTAAATCAGATCCTATCATTCCCAGCTCAAAACCTTCTATTGGCTTTCCATTGTGCTTAGAATAGAATCCAAGCTCCTAACCATGGCCTACAGGGCCCTACGTGATCCGGCCCTACTGCTTCTTTGACCTCGTTACTGGGAACGCATTGCTCTCAACCTCTACGTCCTTATTCTCATTCATACCTCAGGGACTTTGCATTTGCACTACCCCCTGCCTGGAAAACTTTCCCTGAGTCCTCTCAGGGCTGGCCACTTTTGACACTCAGATCTCAGCACATGTGTACCACATCCCCAGAGAAGACCTAAACTTGTTATGTGTTCTTCAAAGCACTTGTCACTAGATGATATTATCTTGTTACTTGTTTATTGTTTATCTCCCAGCTCTGGATTCCATGGGGAAAACAGAGGCCAGGTTAGCTTGGGCCACCACTGAGTCCCCAGTGCTGAGAACTGCACTGGGCACAGAGAGCAAGGTCTATAAATATTCGGCCCAGGCTAGATCCTTAGAGGAAGGGCCTCGTGAATGTGAGCGGACTTCTGGAAGTAAAGCCATGGGAACTAAATTGGGAGATAAAGCTACTGCCTGGGGGATATAGAAGGATAGTCTTTAATTAGAGCATCTCAAATCAAAAGACAAAAAGACCACCTCAATTTTAGCTGATGGGGAAAGAATGCTGATAACAGGTGACCTTTAAAGCAGAGATATTTTATTGGTCTTTTAAAACCCCCGTGTTCATAAAAAATTACATGATTTGTGAACTACGAACAAGTTCAAACAACACCTCAGTTGGCAGGATGGGAAAGGGAGGAAAAACAAGAGACCTATTTCCAGATGGTTTAAATAACCCAGATGCATTTAAATTGTCTGCACACCTTAGACTCTGGTTCACAGGAAGGGAGTATGGTTCCCAGGGGACATGGTGTGGGTTCCACTGACCTGGGTGCTGCAATTACCATCTGGACACTTTGGGGTCCTTATGTCTGTGAACCTGGAGATGGAGGAGTTTCCATTCTGGCAGGGTGATGCCCCGACAACAGTAAGGGGCCAGGGTTGCTGTTACATACAACGGAGTCAGGAGGATTATGTCTGGAGCCCAGGGGATTCACCGGAACAACTCTGGGTGCTTCCATACCCAGTTATAACAGAAAATAAGCAATTGCAACAATCACAGCCTGACAAAGGCAAGGTTACTAAAGGCTCAGACCCTTCAGAAATGAAAGTCTGGATCACTCCACTGGAAAGCAATCAGGCCAACCAAAGCATTAGCCACGAGTGAGGAAACCTAGAAAGAGTAGTAAAGGAAGGGGATGAGATGATTATCACTTACAGCCTTGGGACCAGCTGTAGCTGCAGAGAGCTGGAGCATG